TCCCAGCAGAGGGTTAAGTCAGCCGACAGAGAGAGAGAACATATCATTTTCCATATCCTTGTCTTTGAAGAGAGAGAAGCTCTAGGAAGAGGAGAAAGGGGTTCTTAGAGAGAGAATAGATTTCCAAGCTTGATCTTCACACCTTGAACCGTTAGATCCGTGTCTTGAGGTTAGATTCTTGGTTTACTGTTGTTGTTCTTTATATTTATCCAATCGCATTGCATGATCTTGCATGATTCATGAGCCATGCATTGATTTAAAGTTTGTTTTAGAAAGAGAAAATGATGTTCTTGTGTTCTTCAAGAAAAACCATGTTTTGATCTGAAAGTTTGTATCAAGATCCATGTTTTTGTGTTTGTTTTCATAAGATCTTCAAGTATGGGTACCCAGGTCCATGTTTTCGAACTCATCTCATGAATCTCAGATTTTGAATAAAGAAGTTATGATTTTAGCATTCATGTTCTTCATGTTCATGTCCGTCATGTTCTTCATGTTCATCAAGAGGGAAACCCAGATTTTCCAGACCTCATTTCCCTAGGTGTGATCACTGAAACCACTCTTGCCTAGATCTCACACCTAGGTCAAGCATCGTATCTCACCTTGGCCTAACTTGCATGATCATTTGCACCTTAGTCTATCTTGCATGCACACCTAGGCTGACCACCACACACCTAGGCCGACCATGGTACACCCTTGTCGGCACCTTGTAACACCTCGGCAGGAAGCTGCACCCCGAAGCCTAGGTAACCACACCTCGGCCAAAAGGTGTGGGACCTCGGCCAAGACCTCCTGAGTTCACCCAGCTAGGTCATTTTTGCCTAGATCATTTATGTACATCCATTCCAAGACCTGGTTGGTACCCAGCATGTTTTCCCTAGATGAAAAACAGTGATTTAACTCCCAGCATGTTTTACTTTGTCTTGACTTGGTCTTGGAAAGAAATGTCGGGATCATTTGCACTCATGAAAAGCTTGTTTTAAGAATACATTTCATATCCATCTTTGAGCATCTCTTCTTGTCTTCTTGAAGTGCATTCAGTAGACTTTATTATGTATTTGTAGGTCTTGGATCCTTGCCTTAATCCCTACACCCGAAGAGCTACATGAGTAGTATTTTTAATAAAGTTATGTTATAAAGTTTTGATAAAGCTTTGTTTCGTTTTAGAAAAGTATTTGATCAAGCATGAATGATTATCCCTAGTTTTGTATCAAGTATTAGCTTTGTTTTGATAACATTCTTGGAAAGTCCTCCCATGCTAGGGGATTCTAAGCCCATGTAGCATCATGTTTGAGAGATCTCTGCCATCGACGGTCTATGAACGGATGGCCCCACCGACAGTCTGGTGTACGGGTAGATTTGTCTAATCTATTCTGGGTCGATTATTCCCTTGTTTTGTCCGGAATGTCATCGTTTTGTATTATGTAGATGTTATTAACATCCAAGAAGCTTTGAAAGATTTGATTGATGAACTTGATTCATCCCATGTTTTGTTACAAGCCATGATATGTATTGTTTTGATAAAGATCTCGGATATCATTCATTCAAACCTTTATTACTTATACCATTCACTGAGTATTCAAGCTCACCCTCTCCTTATATATATGTAGGTGTTGAGCAGGAAGGCGGTGATGCCTAGGTGTATTTTGCAAGCTTGTTTTGGATCCATACTTTTGCTAGCATCTTGAAGATTTTGCTTCTTGGCTTGTAGTTTATTTCCTTTGTTTATGTCGGCTTGAGAAGCCTTTTGATCAAGATGTATTATGTACTTTATTTTAATTGTATCCGAGTTGTAAACCATGTTAAGATGTATGTCATTTTATTTGATCTATGCACAGCTCTTATGGACTACTTAGATTTAAATTTATTGCTTTCGCACATGTAAGCCTCATATGTATACTCTGATTGTGTGTGAATCTTTGTAAGTTGGCCTTTGGTAATCTCGGATTACTGGCCATCACGGCACCATTCTACTAGGGGCGGAATGAGGTCGTGACAAATGTACTCCATATGTGATTATATGCTTAAATACATTGTATATGTATCCTTGATTGGGGGAAAATGAGAGATGGACTCCATAGATAATTAAGCTGGCTAGAATGTCCGGGGTGAAAGTCCCGAAAACTTATAAATTGAAGTGCATGAATAGAGTAGTTAATTGGAGTATTAATTACATGAGTTGTAGTCTAAATTTTGAATCGTGGATAGCGGAAGTATAAATGAGTCGAGCTGTAGTCTCACCTAAATTGTTTGGTTAGATAATGAACCATATTGAGGAATTGAATTAGATAAATAAAAGAAGTGGATGGTAGCATGGATGTATTTGTTGTCGGGCGATGAGAAGGGTATGAATTGGTCTGCATGTGTTAATCACTTATCGAATGATAATGTTTTCGTTATTTCTCATGTTGGATTTAGTATATCTCTACTGAGCTTTGGCTCATCCTACTTGGGACACCATTTTCAGGTACCGGAGACGTGCCAAATTCAAGATATTTGCTTGGGAGGTTTTAGGAGTTGAAGACTCTGTTTTATTATTTGTTTTGTTAATTATATGTAAATGTAAGCTGAGGACTTTACTTGTAAAAGAGTTAGAACTCTTCTTTCGTATAACCAAGTAATAACTTGGAAAGATGTAAGCCCGCAGGGCATTTTATCATTTTTGTAAACATTTGTGACTTATATGAGCTACTCATTTGTAATATTAACTCTGATGTATGTATGGGAATGTGACTTATCTATCATGTATATCCATATAGGACAGTTTGGATGGTGGAATTATGTATTATTTTGAGGGCATTACAAATATTTTTTTGACATTTATTTTTGTCAAATTAGTTTATATTTTATCAAATTAACAATTTTTCCCTTGAAATTAAGCAATGGTATTTTCTGTTGTCCTTATTCCAAACAAGATTCAAAGTTCAGGGTCAAATGTGTCATAATTGAAAAGTTAGGGACCAAAGTGACACAAGTCCCAAATTATATGAGCTGTTAGTGTAATTCAGTCATAAATTTTAATGATTATATGGGTAAGGAAACTTTTTGTAGCTACTAAATAATAATTAAAAAAATTATTAAAATAACTGGTGATGTACTAACAACAAATTAAACAAAATAGGTTTAATAAAACTATTTTAGCTTTTTAAGACCATCCCCAAACACTTATTATTTCTTTTTAGTAAATTTAAATTTGATGAAACAAATTAACATTTGCTATTCTAATCATGACATCAAATTTATAGCACTAGGTTGGAAAGTTGGATTGGGGCTAAAATAGTTATAAAAAGACAAAATAAGTTTTTTAGTCCCAGATTAAAAAATATCACATCCAAACCATAATTATTTCTTTTTTCCTCTCATAAAAGTCAAAAAAATCTATCCCAAACGATACTTTTTAGTCCCAAACTAAAACAATCACAAAGCCAAAAAGCCAATCCACATCCCAAACGAAGCTATATTAAATTGATAATGTCTTGAGTTTTTTTTATCAAATTAAGAATGCTTTCAATAGTATACTGGACGATCGGCCGATTGTTCTCTTAGACAACCTCTTTCTTACAAAATTATCGTTTAAGTTTTGATCAATTTATACAAAATCGATTGATCTGCTGGACATCGATGTAGTCGTCCTCCCAATCGATCAATAATTTGAAAAAAAATAAAAAATAAAAATTCCGTTAAAACACTCGGGCCATGTTTGTTTGGCAGATTAAGTTGAATGGGATTGTTAGTGAGAGGATGGTTAGTAAAAAAATTGTTAATGTGAGGATTGTTAGGGAGAAGATTAAGTAAAAGTGTGTTTATTGTAATGATAGTGTGAGAGATGATTAGTGACGAGATTGTTAAATTATTTTTATATTAAATAAATAAATAAATTATTTCTATATTAAAAAAAAAAACTAAAACAAACAGGTGCACTTGATAAAAAAAATAAAGAGAAATGAGTGACACCACTAAAAAGAAGAGCACTAATAGCTCTAAAGTGGTGTGGGTCCCACATGATGGGATGTTTTGCTCTTGTGTTTTTTTTTTTTTTTTGAATTTTCACCTCATTAGTGGTCCATTAGTGTTCCCAAATTAGTAGGATGAATCATTGTTGAAAATAAAAATAAAAATAAAATTTTTATATAAAATATACTCAATCCGCTCTTTATTTTTCTAATTCCATTCAAAATCTAACTAAACTAATCCCTACTTAGGAAATTACTAAGCTCATCAGACTATTACTCCTCTCCCAAAACACTACCAAACAAATTATAAATAGGATCCATAGTCATAGGACTCCAATCCCTCCCACATCGGTAAACAAACATGGCCATAGGGACTACGAATTGCTGATGTGAGGTGTTTTAGGGATTTTTCTGGGGCTTATTTTGGCCTTTTTTGGTTTTTAACTTATTTTAATTTATATTATCTGTTTATTTTTTTATATATATTTTTAAAAAAATTAAAAAATCAACTTTTAACCTACTTTCCAAAACAACCCTTTGATAATTGAAACTGTTTAAATTATATAGTTTGTCAAATATATCATTCATATAAAAAAATCAAATTAATTGGGCATACATAACTCCATAATCAAGTCTAATTATTTTTAAAAAATTATTAAAATCATATTAATTAGTTATTATTTTTTTTACAAAAAATGTACTTTTAGTATAGAGTTACAAATATTCAATTAATTTAATTTTTTACATAAATAATTTACGACAATGTTAGGTAGCTCAAATTTTTGTGGCTCAAATGGCTCAAATCTGTTAAAACGACGTCGTTTTGACAGATTTTGAGTGTAAAACGACGTCGTTTTGACAGATTTGAACCATTTGAGCCACAAAAATTTGAACTACCAAACATTTTCCAATAATTTATCTTATCATATAAACAATTCAAATCATAAAAAATTAAAAAATTAAAAAATAATAATAATAATTGTAGACAGAAAGCCATGAATGTGCAGTTGGGTCCCACCTGATAACGGCTGAGATATAACCGAATGTTCAACGAGACCGTTAGCCCCTCCATTCCAAAACCAACTGTCATCTCATCTCTCCCCCAAAAAACACACACAGCAAACACAGAGAGACAGACAGAGATACAAAGAAACAAAGAAAGAAGAGAGAACACATTTCCCTCTCTTCTTTCTCTCTCTACAAATCTCCCCAACAACACAAGCTTCAAAATAGTTTCCCACAAACAAAAACAAAAAGCCAAACTCTAATTCCAAAATCTCCATTGCTGGAAAAGAATTGCGTGTTGTCTTCCAATCAAGAATCTTCATGAAAAACCCTCTATAAAAAACATATATATATATAGACCCTCCATTGATTGATCATAGAGCAATGGGCTGAATTTGATAATCACAAAACCGAATTCTGAGGCTATATATATTATTATGCAAGTCCTTTCGTACGACGACAGTTTTCTCCCTAGGGTTTCGGTCTCGGTCGATTCTCAGAATCATCAACAACAACGTCGTCGTCGTCGTGGTCAAAATCGTCGCGCTTCTTCGTGTTGTGGTTTCCCTATCTCTCCCATTTTCCGCTTTGATGGCCTCTCCAGAGAGATTTCTTCTTATGACAAGCTTCCCCAGTTCCCCTTCAAACTCACCATTCACAAACTCGATGGCTCCTCCTTCGGTATTCTCTCTGTCTCTCTCTCTCTCTCTCTCTAATGCACACATGATGATTCTGCAAATGTATGAAGAACATGAATAATATTTTGAAATTTTGAGTATTTGAATCGATTTTATCAACCGGGTAGTTTTCAATTTTTTGTGGGTATTTAAGGAAAAGCAAAATGTTTGACAAATCTGCACTTATATAATAGTATAGATATAGGAATTATGTATGTATATGTTTTGAATTGATTGATATATGTTTGACTGTGCAGATGTTGAGGTTGCCAAGACGGCAACAGTGGCGGAGATGAAGCAGGCGGTGGAGGCTGCCTTCAGTCATTTACCAAGTAAAGGACCTGGCAAGATTTCATGGTATTTTTTTTTTTTTTTTTTTTTTGAATTAGGAACAAGCTAGAGCGTGATTGGTTATTTGATTGAAAATTGGGTAGTTACATTGCTTTTTGTTTGTTAAATTATCACAATGAACTATGAACATGTGAAACAGGGGGATTAAATTCTAAAATTTTACCAATAGATTCATTTGCATTACCAGCTCTAATCTTCTATATGGATTGACCCATTCAAGGTATTGTAAATGGTATGAAACTGCAATGGAGGATGAGGTGGTATTATTAATCCTTGGACAATAATGTTGTTTGGATGCAGTACAAGGGGTGAGTGGATAAGGTATTCAGTTCTATGCCTGGTTTGGTTCAGGGACAGGACATAGGAATATAAGGATTACATACCAAATGGACAATATGCCCCTTCTCCATTCTAATAACTCAAAGCCAAGCTTGACTACATTGGATTGTTAAAAATACCCTCAAGGAGAAGGGCACATTGTTATTTTAACCCTAATCCCAGTTAGTCTAGACCTTATTGGACACCCCAAACATGGGATGACTAATAGTCTTATTCTACCCTTTTAGTGTACGGGAAACAAATCATTTTGTTGACTTGATTTGTTGTAATTTGCTAGTTAAGTTGATAATAAGGGATAGTCATAAATTGTCTTATTCAAATTGATTTTTTTAATACAAACTGATATGTATTCATCACTAAGTGCTTGTAGGATATATTTTTTAAAGTTGGTTTGTTTCCAAGGCTATTGATAATCTACTAAATTGCTTGTTTCAATACTCTCTTGTACATGTAAGACTAACTTGAATTTTTTATTTTAATTGTTCATGAAGGTCACATGTGTGGGGGCGATTTTGCTTATGCTATGATGGTTGGAAGCTACTTGCAGATAGTGAACCTATCAGCGATTATGGGATCAACGATGGAGATCAGGTAGCATTATCTTTTCCTGAGTTGTTTTGTCAAAGAATGAACTATTTCATGTTGAAGCAGCCTATTGTCTTATATGCACTTCTGCATTATGTAGAAATCCTATCTTGTTACATCTGATGCAAGGAAGCATAGAAAAAAGAATAAGAGAAAGCTCTGTTCTTTCTCCAATTTTTCTAAAAATGCACCAAATAACCACAAGGCTGGCAACTATCTATAGTAATTCTTGTAGAAAGAAGTACCAACAAAGTACGAAACCTAATAATTTTAGGCTCTTCTGTACTAGATTGATAGTCAAATATTAATTCTCAAATAATGAAAATAAACACGTTTGCATCATCGTCCTCACCTTGAGAAAATTTGTCTTCTAGTTTTTATTGCTCGAAATGAAATTAAACACATGCACTCATCTGCATCCAGTTAATATTCAAGATTAATTTTTTTGAACATGAATTTTAAAGACTAGACTTCCAAAAGAACATTCTCCATTATAACACCTAATTAATCATTCCATAAGAATCTGAGATATTAACCTCAGGTTAGTTCAAACACTATTAACCCATGCGTTACTGGCATGATGTCATCGAGTGGACAAAATCAATTATTACCACATGATATAACCTGTGAAGCCCCATTATTCCAACCATGCAATCATTGATCCCCAATTCCTTGACATCTTTAGTTATTTTCTCCAATGCCAAGACTTCACCAAAATTAATATGAAGAAGCATATCTTCCACTTGGTGGAGGCATATTATTCACCAAAAACATCTCATATTCTCATGAATAATGAAATTACAGGGATTCAAGTATTTTAGTTTGGCTTGATGCTCATTGTGGAAGTAGAGTTTACAATTTATTCTTCCTAATCCAATAATTTTGTACTTCTGGATTCATGGATCTCACTCCCTCCCTCTTTACACACAATGTTTGTTGTCTGTTGCCCATTTCTTTTTGTTTGCTAATAGTCCTTTACGACACATGCAGCTTCGTTTTGTTCGCCATGTCTCGATTAACTACAATCTAACAAGGACGCGATCGAAATATAAATTGTTTGCTTCACAACAACCCAGGATGTAAGGCTCCCTATTTAGCTTTTCTTTTTGTTGTTTATCCATAATTTCTTTTGCTAGTTTACATAAAAATTCAGACTTATTGGTTACCTATATATAGCCTTTGTGTTTGTCATTATTGATTGTATGTGCTTCTAAGTTTACATGAGAATGCAATTAATGGTTATTATCTACCCAGATAACAGTGACCCTTGGACTGTCTATTTGACTGATTTTTTGGGAGCCAAGCCTTAGGGTCTATCATTCCTTATGTTTTCTGGGGACAGTCTTTCAGTCTGTTAATTGGGCTATGCAATCTTGACCTGATACCTGGAAGCACAACACCTGTCATCTTGACTGAAATAAATGAAAGTTTTCTGAACTATAGGTTTTTGTTTGGAAGTTGATTTTCGAACCATATGTAGTTTTGTTTGGAAGTTGATTTCGGAACAAAGTACTGTGTGAACTAAGAGAAAGTGGTCTACGAAAATAGAACCTTCCCTTAGTTATCTCCCCAAAATACCATCATATCAATGTTTGAATTATTTGCATTTATTTTTCACATTTTTAATGCCAGAGGAAATCAGATCACTAAGAGGAAAATCTTTCATTGAATAGTTGTGAGCAAGGAAAAAAAAAGGTTTGGCTTTAGGGCTTTAAAGGTCTGCTGGATTATGTGTTTGATTTCAATAGGTACAGAATTTGGTACAATCTAGACATCATTATTCTTGTTGAAACCGTAGATTATGTATTGGGACTAACTTCATGTTCCAAATGCAGATTGGATGACAGCTCCGATGATGACCAAGAGAATTCACAGCAGCAGTGCGAGCAGCATTATGATGATAGGGATGAGAGCATCAAGAGACGCTGTGAACTTAAATTGGCTCAGTTGGTTGGAGGATTCTTCTCATACCGGAGACTGGGAAGTAGTAGTTCAGGAAGGAGATCTAAGAGCAATAACATTTTGTCTTCAAAATTCGCAGGTGGTTTCTTGAGGAGTTTTAGAAGTATTGTTCGGCTTTGTAGGAGTAACAAACAATATTCCCAAAGAGATCCTTTGGAAGAGGTCTAGTGATATACTATCTACATGCATATGCAATAGCTCCAAATATGTATAAAATTTCCAATAATCACAAAGAAGTAGATATGCCGGAGGTTAGCTATAATTGAAATGGGATCATGGAGGACGGTTTCCATGTTTAGTTAGTTACTCAAAAATGTTATGGGAACTATTGATATTGGAACAGTGAATACACTTTTGTTCTTATGTTAGAATTTCCCATCTTTACCTTCACCTTATGGGAACTATTGATATTGGAACAGTGAATACACTTTTGTTCTTATTGCCTTTTCTTGAGTTTAAAAATTAGTCAATCATGAATTCTTTGTAAAAAAGCAAGATGTCCACACAAAAAAAAAAAAAGGATTGTGTGACAAAAAGGTGTGTGTGGCTCAAAGGCAGTGTGAACATCAATTTTTTTTATTTTTTTTAAGTCAGCAAAAATATTCTTAGATCCAAATATAACAATTTGAAGTATTCTAAAACCACATAATTTTGCAAAAAAATTTAAGTAAAAAATGACACTGATGTGTTCTTAACAAGAAAGCTAAAAATGCCACAACTATTTTGTGGATGTATATTTTTGTTTTCCTATGGAATATAAAACTCTTATCAGTAATTTACTACTAACAAAGATTGTAACAAGGAAAGAAGGAAAAAAAGAAAGAAAGAAATCGCACTCTTGCCACGCCTTTCACTCCACTCGCTTGAGTCGGACTCCTTCACTCTTTTTGTTTGGAGGATCATTCGTTCTCCACTCTCTTGCATTATTACCCACAGGGAGCGCAGCAACCAAGGTGCATATTATCATATCATATAGAAAGAAGCGAAGCGTAGCGATCCATAAGACCATTATATGAATGAAAATACCAAAGTGATCCAATCGGAATCTCATTTTAAATTTTGCTTTCGTTATTTCACTACAACGTATAAGAGTTTTAGAGATTAAATATTTTGGTCTTTAAAAGTAAAAATTTTGTAGCAAAAAATATTTAGAGACCAATTTCTATCATCACGAGGATAGTTGCTAAAAAGTCATCCGAAAAGTCAAAAACAAGACTTTTAGTGACAAAATTTTAAAAATGTCACTACTAAATAGACTTTGAGGGGCAAAATAATTTGGTCTCAAAATGATTTTTTTTTTTTTTTTTGACAAATCCCAAAATGATAATAATTTATCATTAATGTCTAATTTTTGTTACTAAAAATATAATAACGATACTTTTCGCAACAAAAATATTTGATCTCTAAAAAATAATTTTATCCCTAAATTTGGTTTCTAAAATCTTAATTTTTTGTAGTGTTTGGATGCATTTGAGATTTTTTATTTTTTTTATTCTTTTAGGAGGAAAAATTACAAATAAGTGATGGAGGAAACAAATTACGTTGAAGTTTTCAACATATAAAATAAAATACAAGTGGGAAGATCAAAATAATTACAAATATATATATGTGAAATTTGAATTTTTTGATACAAAAATGCCTCTCCCCTCCCACTTTCTCTCACTTTACCTTTCTCATTCTCTATCTTCCATGATGCTGTTGGTGGTGGTGGTAACAAGGCAACATGATCATAGTAATGAAGTTATAGTAGTAATTGGTAATCCAAAAGAAGTTATAGTAGGTATTGTGGTGGTGTGATAATGGTGGTGACAATAGCGATTGTGGTTGTGGTTGTGATGGTGTGATAGTGGTAATGGTGGCAATAATGATTGTTGCATTGGTGGTGATGTGGTGAGATAGTTGTGATAACAGTGGTGATAGAGGTGAAGGGGTAGTGGTGTTGGTGATGGTTGTAGAGTGATGGTGATAATGGTAATGGCATTGGTGGGGTGATTGTGATATACTTCAACGATGACATACATAATCCTAACAAACTAAAATTTTAACATTCAAAATTAATCACTTTGTTTGGTTATTTTTTTTTATATTTTTTAGAAATATTAAGATTAAGTGAATCTAAAAAGTTTATTAAAAAATTACTAAAAATACAAAAATATGAATTGAAAACTCCAAAAGCTGTTTTTGAAAATTCCAAACTAAACAAATTGTGACTTAAATTTTTTTTATCTATTTTAAGAGATGGTTAAAATTTAAAGTGATACAAACTATAATTATTAAATGAATTTATTTGACACTAGGCTTTTCGTATAAACATAAGCTTGGTCTAAATTGATTATGCGTCAGACAACGAATCAATCACCTAAAATAATTCAACAATTTATAACTTTTCAAAACAAAAATTGTTTTAGATGTTTGATAACGTTTGTAATTTTTTATTTATAAAAATCATATTTGGCATACCTTTAAAAATGTGTTTGTGAATTCAAGTGGGGTAGCTGGAGGAGATTTACTAGCCAGATGATTGTCGACAGTAAAGTATTGGAGACTCACCAACGGGGATTAGGGAGTAGTGGAGGAGAGAATGAAAAAATAATTACAAAACAATGAAACACATTTTTTCCCATATAATTTAGAATACTTTGAAAACTATTTCCATTTTCTGGAAACAAAAATAGATATTAAACAAATTTTTGTTACCATTTTTCAAAAATTTTATGAACATTTACGCTGTGTTTGGTTGGAGGATTTGGAACGAGAAAGGGAAAAGTTAGGTAAAATGTGAATAAAATGTACTTACATTTCACCTAGTTTCACACACATTTTCCCTTTTCCTCTCCAAATCCCTCCCCAATTCCCCCAATCAAACACAGCATTAAGGAAACCATAAACATAAATGTTACTAAACAAGCCTAACTTGGTATTTAGCTTTCTGATTTTTTTAGTTTTTGCGATTGATTTATACAAATTTAGCTTCTTATACTGTAAATTACACCATCCAGTGTCCTCTACAACGTTATGACACCACCATCCAGTGTCTTCACCAATGGTCTGACACGACCATACAGTGTCTCCTATCCTTTTTTATTTTTATGTATTTTCTTGTTTTGTTACTCTCTCCAAACTCAAGTTGGTTAGTTTCTCTCCTCCTTGAGTTTGCGGGGGTCTGTTAGAATTTCCCATCTTTACCTTCACCTACTCCACTACACACTCCACTTCACCTACCTCCACTTCACCACACACTCCACTTCACCTAATCCACTATCACTTCCACTACACCTACTACCACATTTTCTTCTATATATAGATTGTATAGGAATTGTAATTGATCAATCTTGTAATACAGAATCATCACAATCAATCAATAATACATAATTTCTTATATGGTATCAGAGCAAGGTTAAGAATTTAATTTTTTTCGCTTCACCGGCGGGCGGCAACCTCGTCATGAATTCTTTGTAAAAAAGCAAGATGTCCACAAAAAAAAAAAAAAAAAGGATTGTGTGACAAAAAGGTGTGTGTGGCTCAAAGGCAGTGTGAACATCAATTTTTTTATTTTTTTTAATTCAGCAAAAATATTCTTAGATCCAAATGTAACAATTTGAAGTATTCTAAAACCACATAATTTTGCAAAAAAATTTAAGTAAAAAATGACACTGATGTGTTCTTAACAAGAAAGCTAAAAATGCCACAACTATTTTGTGGATGTATATTTTTGTTTTCCTATGGAATATAAAACTCTCATCAGTAATTTACTACTAACAAAGATTGTTGTAAGAAAAGAACGAAAAAAAGAAAGAAAGAAATCGCGCTCTTGCCACGCCTTTCACTCCACTCGCTTGAGTCGGACTCCTTCACTCTTTTTGTTTGGAGGATCATTCGTTCTTCACTCTCTTGCTATTATTACCCACAGGGAGCGCAGCAACCAAGGTGCATATTATCATATCATATAGAAAGAAGCGAGGCGTAGCGATTCATAAGACCATTATATGAATGAAAATACTAGAGTGGTCCAATAGGAATCTCATTTTAAATTTTGCTTTCGTTATTTCACTACAACGTATAAGAGTTTTAGAGATTAAATGTTTTGGACTTTAAAAGTAAAAATTTTGTTACAAAAAACATTTAGAGACCAATTTTTATCATCACGAGGATAGTCGCTAAAAGGTCGTCCGGAAAGTCAAAAACAAAACTTTTAGCAACAAAATTTTAAAAATGTCACTACTAAATAGACTTTTAGGGACAAAATAATTTGGTCTCAAAATGATTTTTTTTTGGACAAAAATTTGATCCCAAAATGATAATAATTTATCATTAATGTCTAATTTTTGTTACTAAAAATATAATAACGATACTTTTCGCAACAAAAATATTTGATCTCTAAAAAATAATTTTATCCCTAAATTTGGTTTCTAAAATCTTAATTTTTTGTAGTGTTTGGATGCATTTGAGATTTTTTATTTTTTTTATTCTTTTAGGAGGAAAAATTACAAATAAGTGATGGAGGAAACAAATTACGTTGAAGTTTTCAACATATAAAATAAAATACAAGTGGGAAGATCAAAATAATTACAAATATATATATGTGAAATTTGAATTTTTTGATACAAAAATGCCTCTCCCCTCCCACTTTCTCTCACTTTACCTTTCTCATCCTCCATCTTCCATGATGCTGTTGGTGGTGGTGGTAACAAGGCAACATGATCATAGTAATGAAGTTAAAGTAGTAATTGGTAATCCAAAAGAAGTTATAGTAGTAATTGTGGTGGTGTGATAATGGTGGCGACAATAGCGATTGTGGTTGTGGTTGTGATAGTGTGATAATGGTAATGGTGGCAATAATGATTGTTGCATTGGTGGTGATGTGGTGAGATAGTTGTGATAATAGTGGTGATAGAGGTGAAGGGGTAGTGGTGTTGGTGATGGTTGTAGAGTGATGGTGATAATGGTAATGGCATTGGTGGGGTGATTGTGATATACTTCAACGGTGACATACATAATCCTAACAAATTAAAATTTTAACATTCAAAATTAATCACTTTGTTTGGTTATTTTTTTTTATATTTTTTAGAAATATTAAGATTAAGTGAATCTAAAAAGTTTATTAAAAAATTACTAAAAATACAAAAATATGAATTGAAAACTCCAAAAGCTGTTTTTGAAAATTCCAAACTAAACAAATTGTGACTTAAATTTTTTTTATCTATTTTAAGAGATGGTTAAAATTTAAAGTGATACAAACTATAATTATTAAATGAATTTATTTGACACTAGGCTTTTCGTATAAACATAAGCTTGGTCTAAATTGATTATGCGTCGGACAACGAATCAATCACCTAAAATAATTCAACAATTTATAACTTTTCAAAACAAAAATTGTTTTAGATGTTTGATAATGTTTATAATTTTTTATTTATAAAAATCATATTTGGTACGACACATACCTTTAAAAATGTGTTTGTGAATACAAGTGGGGTAGCTGGAGGTGGTTCACTAGCCAGGTGAGCCAGGTGGTTGTCGACAGTCGAAAATATTGGAGACTCACCAACGGAGAAAGTATTGGAGACTCACCAACGGGGATTAGGGAGTAGTGGAGGAGAGAATGAAAAAATAATTACAAAACAATGAAACACATTTTTTCCCATATAATTTAGAATACTTTGAAAACTATTTCCATTTTCTGGAAACAAAAATAGATATTAAACAAATTTTTGTTACCATTTTTCAAAAATTTTATGAACATTTACGCTGTGTTTGGTTGGAGGATTTGGAACGAGAAAGGGAAAAGTTAGGTAAAATGTGAATAAAATGTACTTACATTTCACCTAGTTTCACACACATTTTCCCTTTTCCTCTCCAAATCCCTCCCCAATTCCCCCAATCAAACACAGCATTAAGGAAACCATAAACATAAATGTTACTAAACAAGCCTAACTTGGTATTTAGCTTTCTGATTTTTTTAGTTTTTGCGATTGATTTATACAAATTTAGCTTCTTATACTGTAAATTACAATGCCTTAGTGGCGGTGAGTTCAGGTTACATGGCATTTTTGGCCTGTTTTAATCCCAAGGATTGTTTGCCCCCTTAGACAATTTATGGCAACATGAGAGAGAGAGAGAGAGAGAGAGAGAGCTTGTCGATTACCCTAAAATGTGAAAAGGTTAAAAACATGGAAATAAAATTGCACAACATAAATGATACACTAACAAACACAGGTTCCACACCTAGACATTTTATGGCAAACATGTTGGTACATTCTAGCACTACAACAACACAAACAAACATCTCCTAAATAATCAGCAACTATAGTAAAAAAAAAGGTCAGTCAGAGATATCTGTACAAAAATGTAGTCAATATCTTCAAATTACCTCAACTAGGTTCACATCACCAATAATTCCAGCTTCTTTCACCAGCCGCTCAGACAAATCCGAAAGCCGAGCAACTTCTGTTTTGAATTCGCTAAAACACTCATGGTTAACCACACTTAACCGCAAGTCAGTATCAGAATCAGCCTCGACACTCAAGCTAGCTTTATGCAGAAGCTCTTGACTCATCTCAGCGAGTTTATGGAGAGCACTAGTTGCAGCTTCAACTTCCAATTGAGCTGCCTCCAATTGGAGCTTCTCAATACCCAGTTCACCTATACTTCTCTCACCAATTCTTTCTTGTGCCAAAGTGTAAAGCTGCCTTAGATCATTAGCATCTTGAATCATCTCTTCTTTCATCTTCTTTAGTTCACTCTCTCTTGCTTCTAATCTTTCAAGGACCATTTTTAGCTCTTCATCTTTGATTGTGAGGGCTCTCTGTGCAGCAACAACTTCCATTTCCTTCATTCTCAGGCTCACTCTAGTTAACTCAAGCTCAGATTCAAGCTGTTTCTTTTGCCACTTAAAATTGTCGGTAGGCTTCTTTAACAATGGACTCGACAACTTGTTCTCCATTTCATCATATTCGTTCAATCCTTCATAATCTTCGTCATTTACAGAAATAACCAGTTTGTTAGTGAGCTCGACAATCCGTTCAACCACAGTTTCAGCTACAGAGAATTTTAGCTTTGTATCGTTTAGCTCGTGTCGCATTGTCTCGACATGTTCCTCTTTCTGCTTTAGCATGTTTGTTGCTTGCAAGAGCTGGTCTTCTCTGCTGTTCACAAGGGTCCTAAACTCAATTATCTCCTCATTTACTTCCTCTAAGCTCTTCCTCACATTAAAGAGTTCTGAATCTTTCTCCTCCAAAACAAGCTCGAGAGAAGCCCGCTCAGACTTCAAGCGCTGTATCTCTAGTCTGGCTTCTACCAATTCTGACTCTTTAACCTGAAGAAGATTTTGTGTTTCTCCAAATTTGGTACTTTCTCGGTCGAGCTCCTCCTGGAGAAACGACTTCTCTTGAATGGCCTGTTTCAGAGAAGATCTCTCTTTATCTAGTTCCTCCTGCAACTGTTCAATAAGCTCCTTTTCCATGGATAGATCCCGCTCAAGCTCCTTGTTTCGAGCCTCTGCAACCCGAAGCTTCACTCTCTCACTCTCTATGTCTATTTGGGCATCTTTCAAACTTTTCATGTAAGACGTGATGCTTATCTTTTGTTCTTCAAGTTCTATGAGTTGGGCCTGTAACAGCTGTTCCTGGTATTCCATTTTCTGTCTAGAGGAAGCCAAAGCTTTCTGAGATGAAACTAATTCAGACCTCACATCAGCAAGAAGCTTCTTCACTCTTCTAAAGTCTTCCAAAGTTTCAGTAGCTTCTCCATTCCTCTTAGATGTTTCCTCTGCCAGTTTCTTTAGCTCGGTCTGTGTTAAAAGCCACTCCATTGCCTGCTTTTCCAAACTGGCCTCGGCAACTCTTAGCTTCTCCTCTTCAAGTTCCCTCAATGTCACAGAAATTTCTAGTTCTTCTTCTTTCTCTTGAATTGCTTCTCGAAGTTGTTGAAGTTCAACTTCTTGTTTCCTCACAATTTCATTGGTTTCATCCAGAAGATGAGCCTTAGATTTTAGTTCAAATTCAGTAGCGACAGCTTCATCACTCTTCATCATCAATTCATTTTTCATTTTATTCATTTCCTCTTCTTTCAAAGCCAGCGCAGATTGTGCAGCAGAAATTTCATCAACCCGCTCTTTGATTTGAAGCTTTAGATCTTCAATTTGCATGCTTTGAGAAGCTAATTTAAGATTAGCCAGCTTCAGCTCCTCTTTTAGTTTTTCATGCTTAGAACAAGCGGCTGCTATTGCTTCCTCTCGATGCACCAACTCATCCTTGGCACGATTTAGTTCTATCTGTTCCAATAACACTTCCTTTTCCGCATCTTGTAGTTGTTCTTCCTTCTTATTCAGGGCAAACAGAGCAGCTTGAAGATTCTCCAGGATTCCAAGATTAAACCCTAACTGATCATCCTGAGGGAGATGAGAATCTTTACCCATTTCTTCTAGTTTCTGTGTCTCGGCAAACAACTTCTCCGAAAGAATCCTTGCAGGTTCGGTTGCCCCATTATCATTGACATTAGACTGTTTGTTGTCCAACACAGATTTAATAACCCACGAGGGATGACTCTTTTTTTTGGGGACTATAACGAGTGCTAAACTCTTCTGCTCCACATTAAGCCAGAGAGAGCAAAACTGCAGAAAAAATTTCAACCGTTTAAATGATCATAATCAACAACAAAAGAAAAAAAAAAATCAAGCTAAATGCATGAGCATTTACTTATTATTTTCTCACTATTCTTTTGATCAATATTGGGATATTTTTGTGAACTATTATGAAGGCCAAAAAGGGACTTATCCAGGGGCAATAAAGAGTCTAATCACCAGAAAAACGGATAAAAAATTGAGGACATGAAATTAAAGATAACTCAGAGATCTACAAATAGTTCTTCAATATTATTTTCCTCCTAACAAGGCAAGGCGGTGGAAACAAATCAAGCTTGACATCAACACATAGAATTGTTTGCAGTATTAATTTCTAAAAAGGTTTTGTTAATGAGTGCCCTTACGGCACTTAATAAGAAGCTTAAAATGCTTGTACATAATGTATGAGAGTGTGTGTAATATGTAATGTACAATCAATTTAAACATTGTTAACCAATGCCCTTAGGGTACCCGTTAACCAAACCCTTTCTAAAAAGTGCCACAGTGGTAAAATGGCTGGCATCTTGCATTCACTTTTAAAAACTTTGATCTGAAGTATTCTTATGGTTGGTTGCGTTTGGTAAAATTTTAAAATTATGATTTGAGAATAGAATTGTATTTTGAGTTTGTGAGTTTTGAAATTATGATTTGAGTGTGGAAAATTTGTTTGATTATGAGTTTTGAAAAAAGTTTTGAATTGAGTTTGGAATAATTGATGTAACATATGATATTTGATTAAAAAACTTACAACTCATAATCAAACACACAATCCAAAATTCTATTCAAAGCTCATAAAAAAAAAATTTAAATTCGAAAAATATTTTTATTTAATACAGAAAAAATAACAGGTGTCAATTGCCCCAAAAAGAAAAATTACACTGTTCCGGTCAACCGGCCGGACGACCGGATAGGTCAAATTTCAAAATTCAAATCCCGCTTGAAACGAGTTTTCAAAAGTGGTGTGGAATTAATTTTTGAAAATTGTAACCAAACACCACACTCAAATATGAGTGTGGAATCATGATTACAACTCCTTTACAAACACAGCCTTTATTTTGCTACATGATTTCTATAGAGTGAGGCAATTTGCAAGAAGTTTTCATGCTTCTTTAGGGTTTATTGGTATCTATATAAAGGGCCCCCTTGCTGCAACACAAATTTAGGGTTGAGTGAAACTTTTTCCTGGTTAAATATGTATTTAAACTCTTCTAATAGTTTCAGTGTGGATCTCAAACAACCATTTTGGAGCTAAATTTCTATCTTTCAAGTTTATTTGCAGCACTTCAACACTCAAAATCAGAATAAAAGTACTAACACCCATTGGTTTGTAAACCCCAACCTTATTCCCCTTGTTTCCCTCTCTAAACCCACCACTTTTCCTTAATAATACAGCCTTAGAATACAAAAAAATAGGGTTTCCTGCATCAACCGCACACCAAAATAACTGTGGTCTTATGACAAGGAATTTGGGAGAAGTTAGGGAGATCAGAACTCCGGGTACAGTCACCAATAGGCTTTGATTTAAGCCAGTGACTCCCGTGTGTGTGTGTGTGTGTGTGTGTGTGTGTGTGAGAGAGAGAGAGAGAGAGAGAGAGAAAAATATATATAATTGAAGGAAAAGCATTGGAGAAAGGTAGCAGGTCCAAACTCCATCTGCTGAAACCCTTGATGTCTATACAAATGACTTCAAGCTATATGAACCACCAAGAACCTAGAACAAAAAATGGAGCAATTTCTCAAATATTATTTGAACTTCTACAATCATTGAATCCCACAAAGTTGTCCTGATGTTGTGTTTGGTTGGAGGATTTGGAGAGGGATTTGGAAATGGAAAGGGAAAGGGAAAAGGTGTGTGAAACTATGTGAAATTTAGGCATATTTTATTCTCATTTCACCTACTTTTTCCATTTCCCTTTCCAAATCTCTCTTCAAATTCCCAAACCAAACACAACATGAAGGTGTTTACTATTGAGCCAAAACAAGTTATTTTGGGGTATTGAAAAAATCCATCAAATCACCTATGTGATCAATAATAATAGCCGAAATTGTCACCCAAAAAAGAAAAGTTTTAAACTCTGAAGGGATCCAGCTCCACAAGCCTTCAAATTACTCATCTTTGTAGTTTTTATTTTTCCATTTTTTTTTTTTTTAACCGGGTGTTCAAGCTAGTTTGCACGCACCTCAACTATTCCGAGGCCCTCGAGTTAATCACCGGAAAACCCCCCGTATCCAAAATTTTGGATCTTATCATCAAATCTTTACCGACCAGCCAATCCCTTGGGGGTTTACTCATCCTTGTAGTTTAGGAATAAACAATTTAGCTTTTGTTTGACATGCTAAACTTTTTGACTTTTTAGCTATTTTAGTCACAAAAAGACAAAATAAATTTTTTAACCCAATAAAACAAAACATCACACCCAAACTATAATCATTTCATTTTTTCTCTCACAAAAAGTCAAAAAGCCATTCCCAAATAAGGCTTTTTAGTCCTGTGCTAAAATAGCCAAAAAGCCAGAAAGCCAAAAAAACCAATCCACATCCCAAACCAACCCTCAGTCCAATTCAAATTCAAATACTGAAATATTAAATCTAAACAAGCCCCTAAATATTTTTCATCTAACTGAAGAAGAATATATCAACAATTTACTACTACTTAAACAAGTAAACCTCACATTGCTCATGGAATTTTTGTTTCAGCTGGATGTGGCTCATGACTTGAAAAGGAGATTTTCAAGACCATATCCATACGCAACCTCCTCTCCAGCTTAGGGCTTACAATCAATGAAATAAATGTTGTAATCCACCAAATCGATTTCCAAGGATACGAACAAACTCGAAATTTTCACCAAAACTCTACAATTTAAGGAAATAGCACGAAAATTTACCATTTGCTCTACACAAAAACAATTCATTAACAAAAAAAAGGAATTTAATACAAACAGTTACTAACATCAATACATTTATAAGTCTCTTCATACACATACATAGCGAGAGAGACAGAGAGAGAGAGACAGAGAGTACCTTGGATCGTTGGTGAGAAGAGGACAGAGAAAGATTGGCGCGCAACGCCATCGTTCAGCTATGAAGCACATTCGAATGTGTCTCCCTTACTCATCATCATCATCATCATCATCATCATCATCATATACAATCTGATAAATCGTTCGTAATATTAAGCAGAGTCGAACATATACAATCTGATAAATCGTTCGTAATATTAAGCAGAGTCGAAGAAGAAAAAGTAGAGAGAGAGAGAGACTTGAAGGTGAGGGAAGGGATTGGAGGGAAACAAGGGGGCGAGAAGGGATGAGAGGCTCACGCTAGCATCATTGTTCACGAGGGGTTAAGTTGAGCCGCGTATGCGGCTTATTTTACCGAAGATAAGCGTTGTCCGACGCGTACTCTGGAAGAGGTTATAGGGTGGTACTGCTGCTTACTGAGTGCAATCGGCTCTAGCTGGTGATTTTTTAGAGGTATGCTAGATTGACGGTCCTGATGTGCTTATAAGATTGTTGTTGGTTGATAAGAGAAAGACTCGTGAGTGAGCGGGGGTGTTTGAGAAGTTATTGGTTAAGATAGTCAATAAAAGATAGTCAATAAAAGTAAAATAGATTAAAATGGTTAATAATATAAAATATTATATTAGTTATAAAAAAAAGTCAATTAATATCTCAAATATAATTTTTTAAAAAGTTAATTACAATAACTAACTTTTCAAAGAAGACTTTATTTTTTGTCATTGAAAAATATTTTAAACTACTAATTCAACATTATTAATACAATATTAATGAGGTGACACCATATAAACCTTATATCTGATGTAATAGTTTGATTTTTTTTTTTTTTTCATTATCAATTTATTAGAATTGACATTAATATTACTATTTTAGTGGTTTATTATCACCACTATTTTTTGTCATAGAGGGGCGAGAATCTTCTGAAAGGCGGACCAGTTGCATGGCGGGTTGTGGTGTAAACTTCACCGGCTAACACGTGCAATTGATTAGCTAATGTAGCTGGTTCCATATTTGGTGGGACACTTGGCATGTATTAAAAAAAAAAATTATATATATATACACACTTGTTTAAGTTATATTAATTACCATCTATCAATCTCTTTCTTTACTTTTCTAAATATTTTTTTTATAAAAAGTCAAAAAGTATATTTATTTAGAACATTCCAAACCACTCCTTAAATGCATGCTTGATTTGTAATAGGATTTGACCTAAGGCCTTTTTAGGAGTTAAAGTTGGGATTGGAATTGGGATTGGGATTGAGATAGAGGTGGAATTCACTATATGTTCTGTTTATTTTGAGAGATGGAGAGGAAATTCCTAATCCCTTGAGATCAAGATGGGCTTTGGAGAGGAGATTAGGATGGAAGCTTGGGACTTGGTATCAGAAAAATAATCTATCAGACTATTTTCATTTTTTATGTATTTTTTACATGTTGGGCATTTTTTTTTAATATTAATGCTTAATTTTTTGCATTTTTTGTTTAGTAAAAATCATTGTTTTATTTGCTTTTTAATTTGTTTTTTACATATTGGGCATTTTTTTTAAGAGCACATTTTCAGTAAATCCATTATCTAAGAAGTTTATTCCATAAGACCCATAGTGTTTTATAATATTCCATTAAGTTTCATTTCATACTAAAAGACCAAAAAAACCCTCAAACAAACGCGCGCATTTCCTTTCTTTAAATCAAATAACCGTCTCTCTCTTCCCCTCTCTTCTTGCAAGAAATCACGCACAGTATCTCCACCATTCCAAAAATCCAAAGCAATATTCCAAATCGTCCCCAGAAGACTTTCATTGTTCCATCATCGCATCGTCACATCGTCTCATCATCTTCTTTGTCATCCCTACGCCGTCGATCGCCGAAATCGTGGAATGACCATTGTTGAACATCCGTAAGGTCTATCTTCATCAAAATCACCTTCGACGATAATTTGTGACAACGTAACCGCCGAAATGGGCAAAAAACGTAAATAATCTAATCATTCTTGTATGTAAACCCTAAATCTCTTTTTCAACAAACAATATTGTGAACTTTCACAAATATTCCCTATTTCTATTCATACAATATATAGGAGTCCATATTATTCATGCCTTAATCTTTAATCTGAACCTCTCAATCGTAATCCCTAATTATATGAATTTTTTCACTCAAAACATTACAGTTGCCATTATGTTGTGTTCATAACTGTGAACATTCAAATGGTTTGGAAGAATGTTGGCCAAACTAAATTGTTTCTGTTGTTGTTGTTGTTGTTGTTGTTGTTGTTGTTGTTGTTGAAAGCTGTGAACATTCACATAGATTGAAAATGTTTGGACAATCAAATTATTTCAAATATTATTGTTGTTATTGTTGAAAGTTGTGAACATTCACATCAATGGTTTCAAACCCGGACCGGACCGACCGATCGAACTGGTTGGACCAGGCCTTGTTCCGGTCCGATCAACCCTCTAAACCCAGAGTGGTGCCAAAACTGGAAAAAACCAGTGACCCAGTGGGCGAACCAGTAAAACCAGTGACCCGGACCGATTCGAGAGGGTCAGACCGGTCTTTTTTTTTTCGGTTTTAATTTTTTTTATTTTCTCTTTCTTTCTTTCTTATATATTATATATATAAATATATTTTAAAATTTTGACTAAAAATTCTTATTTCAAGAGTCTCCTCTAATAAGGAAGAGTCTCATTGGAAGTTGAAGAAGATTATGAAAGTCTATTCCTATTTATAGAAAAAGATTTTTCAAAGATAACCTACAAAATTCTATGTGGGATTCAATCAAATTATTTGAAACATATTGATTGGAGGGAGAGTTGAAAATTTCATTTCCCTCCAAAATTAAATCTAGCATTCAATCAATTTATTTGGAGGGAATGTTTAAAAAATTTAATTTCTTTAAAATAAGTGACTTTTTTTTTTTTTTTTATCAATTATGACTTTATTAAATATTATTAATAAATACTATGCAACAATTTTTATTTTTATTTGATTATTTATATATATTTTAATTTATTTATAATTTATAATTATATAATATTAATTATGACGTCACGGTTTGACTGCTTTGACCCGACGGTTGAACCGGTGACCCGTCCACCTGGTCCCTTTTCTGGTTTGCTCACCGGTCCAGTTTTGAAAACATTGGCTGGGAGGACATCTCGGCAGCCTTCTTAGCCGCGAGCTCGGCATCTATTTCCTGAAGGGTTTGATCGAGGCTCTTGTCGGCAAGAGGCACGTCCGATGATGTCTTCTCAGGAGTTGCATCCTTGGGAACCTCCCCACCCTCCTTATCTTGAGTCAAGTCCAGGACTTGCTCATTTAGAGAAGGGGACTTGGCCCCAGCAGCTTCCTTTGACTTCCTCACCAAAGCCTCCTCCTCAGACTCAGAATCGTCGTCGGATTGGGTTGGAGTTGGGGGGAATGGAAGAGAAAGGACGTTGGTGTTCCTGAGGGGGGAGTCCTCAGAGATTTCAAGCTTTTTCAGCAAAGTCATCCAACCAAGGGTGAAACCTTTGTTGCATGCCTGCTTCACCTGTTTCTCGTAATCCGCCGTGACGTCGGCCACCCCCTCATTGTATCCCTTCTCATCGGTAGCCTTGAGCTCAGCGTCCTTTATGGCCAAGGCATCATGCAGCTCCTTCTGGGCTTCGGCCTCTTTTCTCTAGGCCTCAAGAACTTTTTTAGTAGCCTCAGCAGCCTCTGTTTTTTCCTCGGCATCATCCTTAGCTTTGACAACAGCCTCGGCCTGGTCTGCCAAAGTCTTCATTTTTTATTGTAAGTTTTTGTTGGTCTTCTGCAGACTAGTAGCCTCCCTAGTCTTGTCGGCCAACGCCTTCCTTGTCTCAAAAGATTGCATTGAGAAGGAGTGGGCGTGCTGGATTGCTTGAAAAAGATGAACAGAGCAGAAGTTATTAGAAAATTTTCTAAGTATAAAAAAGAGAAAGAAATAAAAAATTACTGAATAAAGAGACTTACTTGAACAGAGCGCTGGAGTATCAGAGCAAAGTTTTCATACTCACTCATCTCGGCGTTTCAGTCGAGATCACCGGGAAGAAGCAGAGCGGTACTAAGAGCGACGCCGACATTAACGTTGTTGGCGCTATCCCCAGTTCTAACTGGCCTGCCCTTCAATGTGATTTGGGGAGCCCAGGGGGAATCAGGCTTTAGAGACCCTGAGGTGGTTGCAGAGGATGACCTCGGCCTCTTTGATCTGGTAGACTCAGATGGTTGGGCCTCGGCAGGCCTCTTCTCGGCGGCAGAATGGGACTTATCGCTTTTAGTCAATTTGGAGATTGGCAAGGTGTCCTCAATATCAACCTGAGTCACCGTTGCCTTTGGCTGAGCCTTCTTTATCCTTTTTTTGTTTTGACTTTGGCTGGGTTGGTGCTGGTTGAGCATAAACTGAGTCAGGAATATTAGCCAAAAGATCCTTAGCGACTGCTTTCTGGCGGCCCACCTCAGCAGCAAAAGTAGTTTGGCGTCGTCGATGGCATTGAGATGGAGGGATCAGATATGGAGTTGAGGTTGACGGCTGCTCTGCTGGATTAGAGGTCGATCCTTGATCTGGCCGAGATGTGGAGGCTGTTTGAGGAGTTGTGGCAGAAATGAGAGATTGACTCTTCTTCTTCTTCTTTGGAACGTCGGGGAGTACTGATTTGTATGTTGGGATGAAGTTGAGTACCAAAGGGGCTCTCCGCTTGTGGACTGGCAAATCCAATAGTTTCTTCATGTCTTTGCTGGGGAAGAAAGACTGGCGGAAGCCTTTTGGTGGCTGAGTGTAACAACCCTCATACTGTTTACTGATTAATGACTGATTGATTACCAATAATCACCGATTACTGTTAAACGGAACTGATAATGACTGATAACTGACTGAGAATTGAACTGATTAAAGTACTGAACTGACTGACCGAAATTGAAACTGAATTGAGTGAATACATCTGTTTGAATTGCATTTTATCTGTTGACTGTTTGTTTGATCTGTTCGTGTTATATGTTTAAACTGCTAATTGAAGGCCTTATCGGCGGCCGAACCGGAAATGGGTAAGTGTTTTATGATTGTCATATTTAATATGATTTTATGGTATAATTATCTGAAAACTGATTAGGTATGATTAAATTAGATTAAAATAAGCCA